TTCTTCCTATATCTTCTGCTGCCTTGATCATTTTGTGTTGACCTCCCCCTTATTGTATATTATCTTTCCCTTTACCCAAGTTAATTCCCAAGTTAAAACCCTCCCTGACTCGACGGCACACAACAACAGTTGGTGATTGTCCCTCTCTTTTCCTCCAACCCCTGATAACTTTCGAAGAACAAATCTTTCTGCATATCAGCCTCTTCTTAAGTTTTTACAGTAGTGGTCCCACAATAATTGTCTTTTTGTGATTCACTGATTTAATCAGCATAATGTCCTCTAGGTTCATCCATGTTATGAAGTGTTTTGCAGATTCATTGTAATTCTTTAATATTTCATAATATTCCATTGTCTGTATGTACCATAGTTTGTTTATCCATTCATCTGTTGATGGGCACTTAGGTTGTTTCCATCTCTTTACTGTTGTGAATAATGCTGTGATGAACATGGGTGTGCATCTATGTGTGTCAAGGCTCTTATTTCTCTAGGATACATACCTAGTGGTTGGATTGCTGGATCATATGGTATTTCTATGTCCAACTTCTTAAGGACATGTCATACAGCTTTCACCACAGTGGTGGTACCATTTTACAATCCCACCAACAGTATATGAGTATTCCAGTGTCTCCACACCCTCACTAGCATTTGTTGTTTTCTGTTTTTTTCAACTTTGCTGTTAATGCAAAGGTGAGATGATATCTCATTGTTGTTTTGATTTGCATCTCTCTAATGGCTAATCATTATGAGCATTTCTTTATGTGTTTCTTGGCCTCCTGAATGTCTTCTTTGTAGAAGTGTCTGTTCATATCCTCTGCCCATTTTTTAATTGGACTGCTTGTCTTTTGTTGTTGTTGTTGTTGAACTGTTGAAGTTTTGTATAAATTTTGGAGATTAGTACCTTGTCTGATATATAGTTGCCAAAAATTATTTCTCCATCTAGGTTGTTTTTACTTTTTTGATGTTTAGTTTTTAGTATTTAGTTTTTAGGAAGTCCCAGTTTTCTAGTTGTTCTTCTGCTGTTTTCACATTTTTAGTTATTTTTGGTAGTGTATTTATGCCCTGTATTAGGGTCCCTAAGTTTGCCCCTAATTTTCCTTTGGTGATCTTTTTATTTGGGGTTTTACATTTAGGTTTTTTATCCATCTAGAGTTAGTTTTTGTATATGATGTGATATATGGATCTTTTTTCATTTATCTGCAAATGGATGTCCAATTTTGTCAGCACCATTTGGCAAAGAAACTATCTCTTCTCTATGTAGTAGATTTCAGATCTTCATCAAAAATCAACTATCCATGTTGTCTTCCTTTTAGAC